TGCCTAATTTTTGCTCTTCACATCACTAATCAACACTAGAATATCTACAGAGGCAAATCAGAAATTTTCCCGACATTTAATGAAACACCAAGGATTGCGTTATATCAACATGGTGAAATACATTGAGACCACAGTTCACTTTTTAAGACACAATTTAGGCCCAATCCCATTTCTACCCCTTAGCCTTTCCCCCTTACCCTCTGTTTTGTGTGTTCACGTGAAGGGGTAGGGGTGTCTCGATTCTCTTTTGGTTGGAGGGGTAAGGGTAAGGGCCAGATAGCCCTTCAAATGAAGATTTTTCGGGACCAGCTTCAAGGGGTATGAGAATTATCAGCGTAAAGCGGCTACAGCAGCAACATGGCTGCCCGAACGAACAAAAAGACACATAAATGTAAGCATTTTTGGCATTAATAAAGGTTTTAACGAAAAGTAATCATTTGTTTTATGTTACATTCAATCGTGAGTTCATATTTACGGTCATGTTATTCAAAGAATGTTTGCAAAAAATCGCTAAAGTTGCTAAGGTCATACATTACAGATAGTGCCACAACATATTTTCATGTCTGATCAAGGCGATAACCACCATAGACATTGAGGGGGGCTATTCGTCCTAATAATTAGAAATAGCTAAACGCTTTTCTCAAATATTGCCAAATCGTGAGAGAGAGAGAGAGCGAGAGAGAGATGAAAGTTGCGTGTATGCGCATCTGTGCATCTCCTTTTACAATGAGTGAGTTTACTTCAAAAACAGTGATTTTATCCTCTCGTTGCTGGAAAATATAATGTAGCGATTCAGTATTTAAACTGTTAAAGTCGTAAGGCAGCGTTGACCAGTTTCTTTGCTCTTGGATGTGTGAGCTGTGCGATCTCCAATATGTGTGTGTGTGTGTATTAGGGGTTGAACGACTTCTGATTTTTTGAAGTCGACTTTTATGTCATGAAAGTCGAGTCGAAGTCAACTAGTCGCTGATGACGTCATTAATGAACAAATAAGTCTGGAGCTGTGACACAGCGTTGCCCACATGGCTGTTGCTCCTATAACAGCTTTTTTATCAGTTCTTTTGTCTTTGGGTCATTATATTTCTCACAGATTTCTGCTCGTTCTAAATCAGATACAGATAAAGATTACATTAATATGAATGCATTAGTGAGACAGCGATTGCGTGTGTGAATTAATTCTACCTGGCAGCGTCTCTCTACTAGTAGTGAAGCCGTGGAATGTACTAGTTATTAAGAAATATATGCTTGAACTTTTCAGTTTCTAAGCTATTTTATTGAAAAATCACAGAACAGTGTTGACAATACATTTCCGCGCTGAATGATTCTATGTGCATGATGTACGCGCTACTGTCTGTAGCCTATGTGTGTGCGTTACGGCGATTAACTTACCTGTACAATAAGCTGTTTAAATTATGCATTTATTTGTCATTTGAACTGTTTGGAAACAGAGCATAAATGTGGAATTCCTTCAAATATTTCTTATCCTGTTGCGCCCTCTATAGGACCAGCGACTAGTCGACGTCAAGCTTAAAGCATCATGGCAGAGCATTGAAGTCGGTTAGTCGGTTAGTCTGTGCAACCCCTAGTGTGTATGTGTGTCAGTAAGCAGCACATTAATATAGAACGGTAAGGCTCTAATGCACATGAGCACACCAGTATAGGTGTGTGTTTTGTAGGAGCTATTTTCACCCCTACCCCTTGACACTCTGTTTCAAGGGACAAGGGGAAGGGGTATAAAATAGAATTGGGATTGGGCCTGCAATAATATGAAACCCAGAATATGCTAATTAGATCAAGCATATGTCATTTACATGTTGTAAATATTTCAGAAATCTTGAAAAAATTCTATATTATGAATATTATACTTTGGCAAATTCAGCTCTTGTTGATTTGCCTGATTGAAACGTGGTTTTTGGAAATTGAGAAATCAGCTGATCAGATTCAGAGTGTGCCGTTTTGAGAAACCTCTAGCCTTTTTTTATCTGCAATATGCAACAGGCTCTGTAAACAGCCCGTGGGCAGTTTGTGAACGCCTCAGACTAAGGGTGCTTTCACACCTGTAGTCCGATTGCTTTGTTCCGAAACAGGGATTCAAATTATTACAATGTTGCTTTTTATTCTTGGTGCGGTTCGCTTTACCACCGCAAAGTTTCTAAACGGACCAAATTTGTTAATACAAGTCACGCGCTAGTAAACTTCTCTCATTGGTCAAAGTTCCACGGTTTATTCCACTTAGCTTTCACGCATGTCATCCGTCAGGATGGAACGATAACAGCTTCGCGGGCTTATTGTTGGCTTTTTTTTGTAGCTGTCGTTATAATAATTTATCATTTTGAGCAGGAGTCCCGGATTGATTGGGAAAACATTTTTAAAATGCACCTACTACAAAGAAGAGCAATAAGACGGCATTATAAAATAAAAAGTGCGCTTTGATTTTTGAATGGCAAAGACGTGCTCACCCACAGACATTCACAGGTTAATTTTGAGGTATTAGCATAACAACAAAGCTAATGCTTTTCACGGAACTTACGTTATTACCCATTATACATTGTGATATAGCCTGGTCCGTTGGATCGGATTGCTTTCTCACTACAACCGAACCGCTCTAGAGTTCGTTTTCAGTCGAGGCGAGACCACCGCGTTCAGGCGATCTCGGACCGATTGTTTTGGTGCGGGTCCGAGTGCGATTGCCGTGTTCACATATGCCCAAACGAACTGAGCTAAGGGGGGAAACGCGCCAGGTTCCGAAACAACAGGCCAGGTGTGAAAGCACCCTAAGACTTTTTGAAAACTCTGCATATTTGAAATATAGATGTTTATCACTGAAATCACCAGTCAAGAAAGATAAATCAGGGGTAAATCTTGAGCTAAGATGCAACAAAAATTGAAAGCCTTTGGAGGTCACTTCAGACAATGAAGATTAGCAATGCAAATGTACTCTATTCAACACACTTCTATTTACTCTGCCCTGAATTTCAATGAAAGCAAAATGATAGCTCGCCATTGATTCAAGCATGCTAAGTGGACTTGTAAATATTTTTTGTTCAGTGCGTGCCACCAGTAAGTGAACAATTTCAGTATTGTACATTCAAATCATTCAAGTCCTGTGTTTTTATGCAGGGTGTCACCAATCCCTTGTGCCGACGATAATGTCAAGTTATTATCACGTTTTATGCATCAGCGCCATATGTTTATTTATAGAGGCAAATCTTTTTCCATTAATTTCTACATCCAGCTGTTTAGCAGTGGTGCAGTTTTCACATGTGTAATTCAGGCCACACATCTGTAAAGTGCACATAGAACTCGTAATTGATTAGTTGTATTATGTCAAAGACAGACATACAGCTTGTACATTCACCTCACATCCTCTCTCCTGTCTGTCTGTTCCCATTGTTTTTCTGAGCTGCACTCAGGCTGTAGTGTATCTTTTCAAGTGTGTTTTTTTTTTCCGTTGGCTTTGTAAGCTGTAGTCTCCTCCAATCAGGGAATGAAAGCTGGAGTACTGAGCTCTCTCTGTTGTTATCATCAGATCTGTATTCATTTCACACCTGCCAAAACACTTTCTCTTTTATTTATTTATTTCTTTTCTGTATCCTTTCTCTTTGTGCACACAACATGGCAGTAGATTATTATCTTAATGTGAGCGTGTATGTGTTTTTGTGTTGTACGTATGAAAGCATGCTATAGTTAGTGGTCAGCGTGGGTTTTTGTATTGTTTTGAGTTGCTGGTAAAAATTGTAAATAAATATGATGGTGCTCTGGACTGCTGCCATTATAAAGTATAATAGCTCTCCTGGTTGGAAAGTGTTGTGGTGGTTTAATGGAAGGCAGAGGGCTTGTCATAAACAGGTGTGTGGTGTGTTCACTAAGCAGCTGCTGTAATGGCATGGTCATTATGATAATGACCCAGGATGGATATCATAGATCTGGGTTGTCCCATCCCCATGTGTTTGTCTTATGAGAGGGCAGGTGTTGGCCATTACTGGACTGTATTGCAGGACATTGCTGCAGGTCTAGTCTCACAGAACCAGGGCCACACACAACATTCAGTGAAATTGAAATAGCAAAGTGTTTTTTTTGCTGGGTTTTTTTTCTGAAAAAGCCCACAAAAAGATAACGTCTGATCAAGTAAAGGTGACAAATGTAATTTATTCATGCAATGGGAAAACCATTAGTCCAATCTTCAGTGTTACATAATTTTTCAGAAATCATTCCAATATGCTGGTGTTACATTTCTTATTATTATCAGTGTTGAAATCAGTTGTGCTGCTTCTCATTTTTGTGTAAATCAAGATAAATGGATTTTTATTTATTGAGGATTATTTGCTGAATAAAAAGTTCAAAAGAATAGTCCCCAGAGGACTAATAAAAATTGTGCACCAGAGATTTATTATTATTAGCCCAATTGTTGTTGGTTTTGTTGTTTTTTATTTTTTTAACCAATGATGATACTGTCATGCTACGATGAGAAACACACGAAGATGAAGATAAATGCAAATAGTCTTTAATAAATCCACACACGGCTAAATCCTGGACAGAACAGGCAGGAGACACACGTAGGGGGGAGCTATGGTGGATGAAGGGCTGACGGCTCCAGGAGGCCGACTGATGGCGGCGGAGCAGGTGGTTGTGGAGATGGAGAGCCGATGAGCCAGGGTGACAGGGAGGATCCGGAGGGCCAAGGCGGAGCAGATGGCTCGGGATCCGGAAGGCCGCAGTGGAGCAACAGAGGATCAAGATGGAGCCAGAGGGAAGGAGGAGCCTGACAGAGCCGGAGGGACGAGGTGTAGCCGGAGAAGTGGAGTCCCGAGGTGGCAGATGATCAACGACAGACCAAGGTGGAGCCGGAGGGACGAGGGAGCCCGACAGAGCTCATGGATTGACGGGCCACGGTGGAGAGGAGGGAGCTAGGAGCCATGGTGGAGCCGCTGGGTCGAAGGGCAGAGGCGGAGTCCGGGACTCAGAGGCTGGAGGCGGAGACAAGAGATCTTCCAGCCATGATGTCGATGGAGACTGACAGACCCGCGGCGATCCCACCGCACAGATGGTGGGCTGAGGGTGAGCAGATGGGCTGCCAGGAGACAGCGGTGGTGATGGTGAGGACTGGTACAGAGGTGGTGTGAGAGGGAGGCTGGGCTGTGTGCTGCCCACACACCATAAGGCCACTTCCAGCACCGTGAGCGCCAGTGACAGGGGAACGACCTCCATGGTCGTTATAAGATAGGCATACAGTTCTGGGCAGACAGATAGTTCCAGGTAGACAGACAGTTCAAGACAAACAGACAGTTCAAAAACGACCTCCATGGTCGTTTCAGGACTGACAGATGATTCAATCACGACCTCCGTGGTCGTGACAGGACAGACAGATGATGGCGGGAGAAGACAAGGCATATCCACATATAAATCCACATTATTGTCCTCGGAGTGCAACCTCAGCTCACCCCTCGCGGTGGTGCGGTGGGCGGGGCTATCCTCTGTACCCTCGCTCCCTACTGACACATCCACCATCGCGTGTCTAGCAGCCGGTTCGGGCACCTGGACTGACGATCAGGGCTCTGTCGCACTCCTAGGCGATAGCTTGACGGTCGCGGCGGGCTCTGGCTCTCCGTCAGCGGTGGGCTCTAACTGCTCCGCGAAACGTGAGAGGGAGGCTGGGCTGTGTGCTGCCCACACACCATAAGGCCACTTCCAGCACCGTGAGCGCCAGTGACAGGGGAACGACCTCCATGGTCGTTATAAGATAGGCATACAGTTCTGGGCAGACAGATAGTTCCAGGTAGACAGACAGTTCAAGACAAACAGACAGTTCAAAAACGACCTCCATGGTCGTTTCAGGACTGACAGATGATTCAATCACGACCTCCGTGGTCGTGACAGGACAGACAGATGATGGCGGGAGAAGACAAGGCATATCCACATATAAATCCACATTATTGTCCTCGGAGTGCAACCTCAGCTCACCCCTCGCGGTGGTGCGGTGGGCGGGGCTATCCTCTGTACCCTCGCTCCCTACTGACACATCCACCATCGCGTGTCTAGCAGCCGGTTCGGGCACCTGGACTGACGATCAGGGCTCTGTCGCACTCCTAGGCGATAGCTTGATGGTCGCGGCGGGCTCTGGCTCTCCGTCAGCGGTGGGCTCTAACTGCTCCGCGAAACGGGGTGATGACTGGCTGAGCTCAAGGTCGAACATAATAAAAACAAAGTGTGGGAATACACGCCATGCACTTTACTTCTAGGTCCAGTCTTCTCTCACGTTACGGTGAGATAAATGCACGAAGAAGCTGAAGATAAATGCAAATAGCCTTTAATAAATCCACGCAAGGGTAAATCCAGGACAGAACAGGCAGGAGCACACGTAGAGACGTAGTAGACCGGACCCCAAACAGTGAAATGAACACAACTAAAATAGGGGTGCTAACGAGGGACAGACAGGTGAGGAGGATCAACTAATGAGGACACAGGTGAACTAAATGACAAAATCGATGGGAGACAGAAACTAGGTCACACTGAGCACATTGGGAAAGAAAACAAAACAAAAACAGTCCAGGGATGTGACAGATACAGATTACTGATCTTTATACTGTATGCATATATATATATATATATATATATATATATATACACTACCAGTCAAAAGTTTTTAAGAGTAAGATTTTTAATGTTTTTTAAAGAAGTCTCTTCTGCTCACCAAGCCTGCATTTATTTGATCCGAAGTATAGCAAAAACAGTAAAAATGTTAAATGATTTTACTATTTAAAATAAATATTTCCCCACATTTTTTTTCCACATTAGCTTAAAATCGTATGTGTCAAGCATTTCTGAAATGCATCTTATTTAAGCATAAATAGCTGTGATGTATATTACATAGTACTAATGCAATATATTAAATGTATTTATTTAACTATTTAAATGAAACAACACAGTAGAGAAGAAGAAAAATGTAAATAATCAGCCCCTCTTTGGCCTAAGATTCTGGTAAGCGCTTTGCCATTTATGTGTGTGCACACTTAAGCATTAATCAGGCTCATTACTAATACATTCTTGTGTCTCATATCATTAAGAAGCAGGGCATTGTGGGTAAACAGCTGTTATTGTCATTCAGAGTGCATATGTGGGGCAGAAGAGGGTGAAAGGTTCTGCTGGTGGTTAGAGCTGTAATGCCGTGTCAAGTTCAGTAGCTCCGTATGCATACCGGAGAGGAAGAGTCCGCCTGTGTGACCCTGGAGAGGAAGAGAGAAATAATGTTGAAGAACAGAAACAGAGAGAGAGAGAGACAGAGACAGAGAAAGGGACTTTAATGAGTCCTTGTAATGGGTGTCCCAGTAAACAGGCTCTGGCTACTGTTATCTCCAGGCTAATGATGTCTGCTGCGCTATTCAATTAGGACAGGAACAAGGTCACTAACAGCTCAGGCCTTAAAGAGTTTAATGCCCCTCTCGCCACTAGACTTCCACTCCATTAGTCTGTGTTGAGTCCAATAAAACCTCAGCTGTGAGAACACAGACCACAGCTGCGTGCTACTTTCAGCTCTATTTGCATACATTCTGCTTAAAGTTCAAATGCTTTGTGTCTACTGACCGTCTGCTTGTTGTAATTGCTATATTTTGGCAGCATCTGTATGAGTGAGAGATGTAATGTTCTCTGCTTTAATTAACAAACAGGTTTGATTTATTGAGTTTAGTGTCTGTTGTTCACATCCCATTCATTGTTAGTTTGAAATAGCTCCTTTCACGCTCATTTTGATGTTTTCATGCGGATAGTACTACCATTAATTTATTAAATTTGTTTCATTTATAGCTACTGCCAAATATTTAGTAAGAAAATCAGTTTTAGGCTTAACATCTATGAAGTTCCCTCACATTTGGAAAATAGTTATTTTTTGCTCTACATAGTTCTTACACACAACACATGAAGCAAATGCAAATCATGTATGCATTTTCTGGCCTTTAGAAAATAAAACGCCCTCAAGCTTTTCAGAGCTTTATACTTTATTTAACAAATAAATCTTGCAGCATTGCTGGGGAAAAAAAATCTACATACACTACCATTCAGAATTTAGGGTCTTTAGTAAATTTGTTGAATTTAATCAAATTGTTTTATTATATTGAAAGAAATTACTACATTTATTCAGCAAGTATGCATTAAATTACTCAAAAGTGACAGTAAAGACATTTATAATGTTACTGTCAGGAACTGTGTTGGAGGGACGACGCGGAGATGTGGATCAAAGTGACAGTCTTTAATGCAATCCAAACACAAGGGGTAATCCACACAAGGAACGGCTTTGACACATGATCATGACGATTAAGACCCGACAAAGACAGACTGCACAGACTGGGGTACAAATACTAGGTCACGGAGAGCACATGGGAAGGAAAACACACACAAACAGTCCAGGGGTGTGACAGTTACAACATATATATATATATATATATATAACAGGCTTCATACTGCAACTAAATTGGTTGTAAACACGCCAAAAAATAAATATGTCCCACAGTAATTTAAAATGTAGTCTCTTTTGGCCAAAGGCAGGAAAAACTGTTACAAAAACACGTTATTGTTGTCACTTGGCATATGAGGTCCAATTGTTAGACTGTATCAACCTTTTTGGGGAGGCATGTTTGATCCCCAAACAAGCATTATTGATACAAAACAGACCAATCAGGATCATTCAAGTGACAGAAATAGATTGGAACCAATTTATAACTAAAAAAACACACTCTAGTGTACACTATAATTCAAAAGTATTGCGTCAGTTAGATGTTTTAATGATTTTCTAAACATCTCCATGGCTGCATTTATTTGATCAAAAACATAAATATTGTTAAATATAACATTTTAAGTTCATTTCATTTCTATTTAAAATATTAAAAAATGTAATTTATCCTGTGATGGCAAAACTGAATTTTCAAAAGCCATTTGTCATCATCGCTGCCGGAAGGAACACGGAGCCGTGGAATACATGAAATAGTCTTTATTAAATCCAAGACACAGGGGTAAATCCAACTCAGGAACAAGGAACGAGGAATGACACACGAACACAACTTAGTAGACTACACATTATATACTAGACTTGAAGAGGGATAGACAGGTTAATGGGCATAATAAATCATACAGAAGACCAGAAACGTGTATTAAGATATAGTCAGTTATGATATAAACGGACACATTAAATTAAATCAATACAGTAAATATGTTCATAATGTTACAAATAGATTTCTATTTCAGATAAAAGTGGTTCATCAAAATTTCTGTTCATCAAAAATTACGAAAAAAAAGCAACACAACCATTTTCGACTAATGATGGTAATACACTCTTAAAAATAAAGATGCTTCACGATGCCATAGAAGAACCTTTTTTGTCTTAAAGGGGTCATATGATGCTACTAAAAAGAACATTATTTTGTGTATTTGGTGTAATGAAATGTGTTTATGCGGTTTAAGGTTAAAAAAACACATTATTTTCCACATTCTGTACATTATTGTTTCTCCTCTATGCCCCGCCTTTCTGAAACGCGTCGATTTTTACAAAGCTCATCGTTCTGAAAAAGCGAGGTGTGCTGTGATTGGCCAGCTATCCAGTGCATGTGGGACCTCGGTCTAGCGATTTCGACGAAGGAGCGTCTGGCGGGCTTGCAACAACCACATGTGACGACCCCGGGCTGGACTCCGCTTCGTCCACGGTGAAAGCCGATACACAGCGCAAAGTTGTAGTATTTCGTTGTGTAGTATTCACAACGAAGCGCACAGCGTCTTCATGACATGGCGGCAACAATACTACAGCGAGAATAAAAGTTACGCCTTCTTTCTTTGCGTGAACATTTGGGCGGCATTATGCAAATCTTCCCACATAGCGACGTAGATATGTGGGGATGTGTTAGAACAATCCGTTTTAGGTAGGCGTGGCTGACTCTTAACTTTTATAAAGAATATCTCTTTGGATTTGAGACTTTAGTCTTTGCAACTTTACAGATCTTTATGCACCAAGAGCTTGTAACACTCCAAAGAGAAAGAAAAAATTTAAATCGCATCATATGACCCCTTTAATGGTTCCATAAAAAACCTTTAACATCTGAAAAACCTTTCTGTTTCACAAATAT